ATCTTCTGCCTGAGATACACGTACTTCGTCTTCATCATCATCGCTCTCTTCATAGTTTTCATCATCGTTGATGCCTTTTCATGGAAATATTGTCCGTATACGGCACTGAACTCCTCATCAACACTCATGTTTCATTTCATGCGAAATGCGAAGACGATAATCAACAGAAACAGTAAACGTCACTTCTTCAGTGTTACTTTTTTAAATGTTCCACACTAGCAACTTACACGATGAACTATAATAATATTCCGACCAACAACAACACTTACTGGACCAACAACAACACTTACTGGACGTCCGGCGCGGAGAACAATTAACGAGATAATGAGAAACTGACGAAACGAGTTGCTTACTTTTAACAGCTTTTTCACAGAAAACTAGTTTTCCCACGTAAGCTCCATTTTCGTAGACCAGGTCACATATGAAAAAAAAACTTATTTAGTATAGGAATCTTTAAAACCAATATTTTTCAATCGGAAGACTATGGTCCTGACTGCCAATAATAATACCCATAATAATGGTTTATTTAACCATTTTGTTATACTAGCCATTTTTATGGGTCCCCCATTGCATTTTCAGGGGTTTTTGGCGGACCTAAAAAATATAGTTACTATGAAAATATTAAATAAACAATTGGGTATTATTATCGGGAGTCTTTTGAAAAATATTGCTTTTCAAGAATTCTATACCATTTCAACGAAAAGTAGTTTTTTCCCCATATAAAATACATGGAAAAGTTTGAGCCATTTAAGCGACCTCTAAATATTTTTTGATTCCAATATAAAAAATAGGGGTATATTCTTTTGGGTATAGAATAGTTCGAGAGGTGAGAGCTTTAAAATGCCGACTTTACTCTTTCGCATGCATTTTTGGACCACCCCTATGTACACTCATAGACATGTTGGGCTTTGAATATTGCGTGAATTAAGAGTTGGTTAGAAAAATAAGAGTCCCACCTCCCAAGGATTAGTAAGGGCCCAAGAATGATAGAATACAAGATTGTGCCAATTGAGCTGAGAGCAACTGGGTGTCACGTCACATTATTTTGAGATTGAGAGTGTAAAGAATAATTTTGAAGAAGAAGAGGAAGAAGCGAACAAGTGGTGCGAAATAATGATGTAAAACTAGGTTGAATTGTACCTACTCCTCATCCTCTTAAATTTGAACGTGTATTCGGTACAAGCACATTATTTTAGGTACATTCGGAACGTAATAAAATATTGTTTCATGTAAGTAGAAAAGTTGTTATGGTACAAAGGAAGATGTAGTCCACCAACTACCAAAAATGTATGCACATAAAAATACATGTTTACTTTTTAGGTACGTATATCTACTTTTAGGTACAGTCAAATCGAGAAAGAGGGGACTAGCTGTCCGCGGAAGGTGCCACCTTTGTTTCGCTGCATCGTCTAAAGAAAAGCCGCTGTTCCAGAGTGTGAAAGGGACAACTATGAGGCGTTGAAGAGCGTCGTGGGAAGGCTTAATAGTAGTGATCACAGGCAGCAGATTTACCAAATGTAACTGGAGAACCGCTATCAAAAAGCTAACTAAACTAGGACAAAGATAAAAATAAATACAAGCACAAACACTTTGCAGAAATTCGCTGCCGATAATGAAAGATTGGCTCATTTGGCTATTGAAGATGCATCTGGAAAGCATTCGAAAGATTCATAAACGGAATGCGTGACATGCATACCAAGCGAGCCGACGTTTGCTGAAACTGTCGCGTATGCCCAGACACAGGTAACGGCCGCGCTTCAAACTAGACTAAGCACCGGACGTGATATATGAGATACAGAAAACACCCAAGCCGATCGCAGGGAAAAATAGTCTTGGTGTAAACACGAAAAAGGATGAGGAAAAAAAATGTTCTATTTAGTTGTGCGAAAATAGGCCATTTTGGACGCGATCGCAATACAGGTTCCAACAGGCACAAAAATTCAGCAGTACGCAAACGCAAAACTGAAGAAGATGAACCAGAATATGCCTCTGTGCTCCTTTGTAATTGCCGCTCATTTTACTGCCATTGTCACACCCTTGCCACGACAGTCAGCCAGTGGAATGTTGGCCTTTTGTAGAGTGCTATGGATCAGCTCGGCAATAACTTGACATGCACAGCATTCGAAAAATTCATTTTGTATTTCAGAAGACAACTAATGAACTTGAAGACGTTTCTAATTTGTTTGAAAGTCCTTCTTCGAAATGTTCATGCAAGGGAGGGTCATTTTTACCGATCAATTCTAAAAAACCAAGAAAGTTTTCAAATAAATTTGGGCATATTTACGGTCAAATAAAGATGTCAGATAAGCTGAGTATATTTTATTGGTATGTAGAATTGTTGCTTCAGCATGAAATGAGTGTTTGTTATTAAAATGATAATGTTCATAAGTTTATAGTGGCAGGCATTGTGGCCAAAGCAGAAAGATTTAGGAAATCATCTAACTAGACTTCAATGATAAAGCGTAACAGTATTATTTGCCTAAAGCGGTGAAACTGGCCTTAAATATGACTTTTCATTTATTAAATTTGATGGAATATTAAGAAAGATATGGAGCTGTTACAACAAATTACCTTCAAAAATTCCCTGCAATTCCAGGATTAGTCTCAATCGGGTACATTTTTATATGTAAGAAAATGCGCAGTACCGTCCACAAAAACAATTCTCAAAATTTCACGGTGTTTTGTAGGCACTTGAAATTGCACTTTATTACACTAAAATTACATGGGCTACAAAACAGCATACCCGAAAGTTTTCGGCCCGCAGTGCAGAATCTGCTATATTTTTGGAAAAAAAATAATGAATATTATTCAAACAAAAGGAAAACTGTACATACTGAAAATCAAAGCGGAGTGCCATTCAAATGACTGGGACTGAACATATATAAGTACAAGTATATTTGTCACAAGCTATCAGATTTTGTCGTTCGGGTAGGCAAACCACTTGCACAGTAAGTGAAATTGAGAGAGCAAAGTGATAGCTGATTTTGAGGGAAAGTTTCAAATTCTAGCGGCCAGCAAGAAAATGTACAAAAAAAAAGATTTTACGTCTTAATAATAATAGTACATAATAATAAAAACAGCTTATAAAAGTCAACAGTCTGCAACTTATGAAAATAATGAAGTTTATGTTGATAATTTTTAGTTATAAAGTAACTTATTAAAACACCAAATACTCAGTTTCTTAAAAACTTTCTAACTAAAACTTGCTAATTTTGCGTTCGCGAACTGTTATTTTGATATTTTCTAATTCAAAAGAGAATTTTTTTAAGTTGCTGCTGGATATATTTTAGTGTTGGGAGGAATCGGGTATTTTTTACAATATAGTTATTTGGTAGCGATACCTTTCAGGATCGGTTATTTCGAGAGTACTGGGTACTTTCTTTAAATATACACATGGTGGTAACATTTCAATATTTAGTGTAGAGATTATTATTATATATTATTATTTATTTAAATTCGAATTGGTTTACATTTCACCTTAAAATTTATAACTGAACCCGCGAAGCTGTACTGCTCGCCTGCGGGTGTGTGAGTATACTTAATTTAGATAAAGTACATACATGAATACAAAGCTATAACACAAAAATTAAATACTTATGTATATATAGATATATAATATACTACTGTCAATACATACAATATTTTTTTTTTTTATAGGATAACAAGAGCCATGACTATACGAACACTAAATCAAAGGATAATTACAGAGAAACTTTGGTATCTCATAAGCTGGCAGTAATTTATTCAAATTAATTATTGTACTGGGTACGAGTATTGTATTTGAAAATGATTGAAACTTGAAATTGAGTACATACAATCATTTCTGAATACCGGTAAATGTAAATAGAACTCAGTACTTTTAAGTATCTATTCGACACTTAATACTTAGTACTTTGAATCTATCCTGAGTACATGCATCAAGATCATAATTGTAACAGAGTACTTTTGAGTTCTCCGTAGTTTCGAGTTCTTTTGTGAGTACTGAGTACTATGGAGTACTCAGTATGGATATTTTTAAAAATCGGGTACTATCGATCCTTCTGAGAATCGAGTTCTGAGTACTTTTGGTATCGATAACTCCCAGCACTAATATATTTCATTGAAGATCTATTCCAACAGACTAATTGATGAAGACGATATGTTAAATGTATTTTAACTTTTTCTTCAATTTGTCTTGTTGATAAACCAAATCATTAATTTTTCATGACAGTTTCCAATTTCAATTTATATCTTATTTCGCGCGATATTACTATTATTATTATTATTATGAGCCTTGAGCACTGCGACCTCTAGGGTGGTCTATTGTGCGTGGCCCTTTACCCTATATATGAAGGCTTTTAATATAAGCTAGCACTTCGGTGGGCTTTTTGTTCCATATTTCGAATGGATTAAGTGTTGTACCACCTAGGTGAGCGAGTCTGCGTCTAGCGAGAGCAACACATTCACAAAGGATGTGTTCTGGCGTTTCTTCGTCCATCTCACAGAAGTTCGCGCGATAAGTTTCAACCAGAAACCATTTATTGGCGCTACACGTAAGCCGTTTTTCTCCAACTCGATTGGTAATGCAGTCCTTTTGGCAGCGGTGATGCGAAAATCGCGCACTAAATAATAGAGTATTGCCTTTGCTTCCAGCGTAGCGAAGCGTGAAGCTAAATACGAAGTATTAAAAAAAAAACATAGCTTCAACCAATCATCGAATTTCAGTACTTACCGATACAATTACGTGGTCCCTCTCCAAAAGGCAGAAAAGTAAATGGTTTGATTTGGTCCTTGTTCTCGGCACTAAAGCGTTCAGGATCAAAATTATCTGGATTTGGATAGTACTGCGGATCGCGATGAATACCTGACACTGGCACCAAAATAACCTCGCCTTTCTTTATTTCCGTACGTTCGCCGTTGGCTTCGTATAGAAAATCTTTTGTACAAATTCGATTTAGCGTTATAATGGGTGGCCATTTTCGCAAAGTTTCATTTACAACCATTTCCAAATATTTCATCCCTTGTAAATCTTCATATGTCAATCTTTTACCTTCCCTTCGTTTATTAATTTCTTCAACCTCTTCAAACAGTTTTTCTTGTACAATCGGATTCCCCATTAATTCATATGCTGCAAAACAAATCAGTGTCGCCATAGTTTCAAAACCGCCGAAAAAGAAAAGGAAGCACTGCGCCACCATTTCCGTGTCGGTCCATTCACGATTATGTGCCTTTGGCGAGTCGGTAGGAAAGAGACCGCGGGCCTCCATTAGCAAGTTAATTATATCAGGCCGACGAATATTTCGTTCTTTGCGATATTTAAAAGCATCAAGAACTAGTTGACAGAAGTACTTAGTTGAGTTTTTGTCAACGAACTCAATTCGAAGAAGCTGCAATTTCGTTAAGATATAGAAATGTTACTGCAAAGACCTTAATTACATACATATGTAGGTACATATGAGTTCATATGAACATATGTGCATATATCAATATATTATCTACTTATGTTTGAATATAAATCAACAATTAAAACAAGTAATTATTTTTAGCAAAAAAAAACCGATTTCAACTCTCATATAAAATATATATGTGTATATATATATATCTCATTATCCACTGATCGGATCTTAACCAGATTAGTACCACCTCTGAGACACTACCTTTCCGATACAAAAAGAATTATCGAAATCGGTTGATGTGGTCCAAAGTTATGCGGTAACATACATAAAAAAAAAAATATTCCGTCGAACTGACAACCTCCTCCTTTTTTGGAAGTCGGTTAATTAAAAATGGCTTTAGCTGTTAAGATGCACACCAAAATTGGCAGTATTAGAGGGATAGAGCTTAATAATTTTTTTGAATTTTCCGCGGAGTAACTTTATGATGATGAATTCACAAAAAATTTATTAGGTAAATGAAAATTTAAGAAAACGTAGTACATCGCAAAGACTTAGGAATATATTTAGCATGAATTTACATAAACACAAATTTCATCCAGCGAAAGCGAAAACTCGGATATAGAATCTGGAGACATTAAAGAATTAGAATTTAAAGCTCTATTGAAGGCCTATCCTAAAGAAAAACCAGGTCATCTCGGTGAAAATCCTCTCGATTGGTGGAAAACTCAACTAAAATACAAAAAATTTACAGATCTGGCCCGCAAATATTTGAGCGCTTCAACCGCCAGCGTTCCAAGAGAGCTATTGTTCAATGCAAACGGCCTTATTTACGAGCCTCTAAGAAATCGCCTCAGGAAATAAAAGGCAAAAAATACTTTTTTTAACCTTTGACTACTAGATTAAAAACTTTATAGGTTAAAGGTGTTCTTACACGATATGTATTTGCATGGGTACATGCCACTTTTTACATATGGAAATGCACGCAGATGCACGTACATACGAAATAGAAATGTTTCTATTTTCATCTGACACACAGATAGAATCATCTGAGTTTAGTTTATTTCGTTTTCAAAGAACGTATTTTTAAATAAGGGCGATTCCACCGTCACGGGTTGGACATTTGTACAGAAAACATGTTCTTTCTTGTTTAAATTTAAGTAAAAAGTACAGAACAATTCTACATTTTGATAAAGTTACACCTAATTGACTATTATAAGAGTTATTACAAAATAGGAAAAAAAATGCCAGCTTACTTTTATATGCGAAAAATCTGATTTATTTTTTCTGTCATGGGTGGGACAAAAAAAAGAACCTGCTTTTTCGAGCAGATATATTTTACGGAAACTCTACGAATTTATTTCACCTTCCCGTGGAACTTGATGTCTTATAATAAAACATAGAACCAGGAACACAAACAAAGCAAAAACTACAAAAAAATGACGGCTTCTCGGTCACGAGTGGGACAACGTTTGTCACGGGAAGGACACGTACAAATTGTTATATGAAAAGGAGCCTTTATTGTGGTCCATATATAAAGATTAGTTATTAAAAAATATAAGAAACCAAGTAGGGGTTAAATTCGCTCACGTTTTATCTTAGGATGGTGCCTTTTAAGCTTAGCACCTTCAGCCAAAAAATTTTTTAATAATTAACGCGATTTCCTAGCGTCTTGAAATTTTCACTTTCACCCACTTAAATTTATTGGACTACGAAACTGCATACCTAAAAATTCTAAACAAAAAGTTTAAAATTGTTGGGTATAATGTTAAAGTTTGTTGAATTTTTATAATTTTTGTAAAAAGTTTGAAATGTGGATTGGTTAGGTAATGGGCTAGGCATTTATAAAAAAAAACTATAAACATTAGATTAACAAAATAAAAAACCAAAACTGGTCAAAATGTAACTTAACCTAATCAGCTGACCACAAGGGTATATAGATAATGGACGAATCCGCGCATCCCCCCGTCCTTCCCTGCGTCCACCTCAACAAACAAATAAATCTTATCAGCCCGGTTAACCTACCTTTGACAACTGTCCCTCACAAGGCTGTCACGGGTGGGACATGCTTCTCTGTTGAATTATTCTTATCTAACAACGTGGAAACGAAATGCAATTGTGATAAATATTTGGAATGAATTTCTAACATTATGTAACAAACACGAAACACAACCTCAACTTCTGTAATTAAATACAACAACTTTTAACTTTTTTTGTCACGGGTGGGACAACCCAAAAGTGCGTAATAATATCTCACAATATAGATTAAGCACTCACAAAATTTAATATATAACACAACTTTATTAAAAGTAGATGAGTTCTACTATATATTTTTTTTATCAAACACTTGAATTATGAATCGCAAATCAATCGCAAAAAATTTACTTATAACTTGATTTCAAAACATAAAAAAGGTGATAAAAATGCATTTAAAGCTTTAATTTGTTTTTTTTGGTTGATTCAAGATTTTTACAAATGTCGTATTCACACGTTTGTTAGTTTTATAAAGAAAATAATTTTCGCACTGAGGTCCACTTTCCCATGGAACCTCCCATATGTAGTTAAATAAATACTGTGATTTTGACAGACATACGCAATTACATATGTATTGAAAAAGTAACAGTTAACATTCAACCTTAAGCACTCGTTCAATGTTCTAATAGTTTACAAAATTTTTAAGTAATAAAAACGATGACTTAAGTTGATTATAGCTTTTTTAATGTTATTCCTAACATTCGCATTCCGAAAATATGAAAAATATGACATTCGAAACATACCTAGCATTTATGTACACACATAAGTACATAGTATATATAAATATAAAAATGTATGAACTTTTTAAACGGTTCAAGTCATGGTGAAATTGTAATGTAATGATGTAATGAGAGCGAGTAGGAGGATGTATGTATATTGATTTTTTGTTAAAGTGTATACACATAATTAAAAAAAATCATAAGTATTGATTTTACACCATCTTATTTGAAAATTTGATTTAAAATGTTTTATAAGATAACCGATTGACAGAAAATAAATCGAAATAGCTGATTTATTACTTCGCCTGTTTATTGCACCATAGGCTCAAGTATTGAATTTAATTCTGCTTGTTAGTGGAAGAGAAGGGGTGAGAAGAAAAGGGAAAAGTACACATTCGGCTTTACCGTCAAGGCGTTTCAAGTGTCTAGCTTTGCTTTTGACGTTTTCGTCGCTTCCCTGTAAAGAACGAAAAACTTGAATTCAAAAAAAAATTGAACCATGTTCAAAAGTTTAGGGATTTTGTGTTTTGGGAATTTTGTGACACTGTACCAAAAAAAGTGTGGGGATTTCGTGTTTGATTTTGTGTTTGGGGATTTTGATTTTGGGAATAATGTATTTCTCCCATTCTACAGTCTTCCTAGGAAGATAATATATGTACTGTGAGGGAACCAATGGGCCAATGACATATTTTGCCGTTCAAAGGCGGCGTAAAACTTGTTTCCTCCAGTTGTGTTACAACTCGGCTCGGCCAAACACGTAGGAAAATAATTTAGTGCGAAATAATTTTATTTTTGTTTACTTTAAATTCAAAGTTTTTCTGCCATTGAAAGCGGACAAACTCGGGCAGTGCCAAAGTTAAGCCAAAAGTGGCCAAAAGTGATGTATTGAATTTGATTTAAATTGTTTTATTTTCGACTTATAGATAAATGAAAGTAGTTGACAAACAATTTTTAGAATAACTTGCGAAAAAGTTAAATATTTTGTCACCTTTTAAGATAAAAATTATTATTACTAATTGAAACAACAAAGCCGACAAAGCGGTTTACGCCAAACTTTAAATTCAGAAACTGACAATATAGAAAAGACCGAATATCGACAAATCGTCTCATCCTCTTAAAGGCAGGATGGGCAAAGGGAGTTATCATTTACGCCTATCACAGTGAGGTGTTTGTGCCACGTGAAGTGATCAGTCAGCAGTCCACCTTGAGGCCCGTCTGCTCAGTGAGAGCAAAAAACTAGATGGACCTTCTGAGATTGAAGGCAACATGAGTTTTCGCCACCTGCATCCCCTCTATGCTTCCCAGTCATTTGAATTTTGAGAATTTAAACTTAACTTCCTAAACAGTAACCCAAAAATTCGTTAAATTTTTTGAGATTCAATTCTTTCAGAAATTTCTTCGCACTTCAAACTGAGTACACGATTTTGAATTTTTGAAATCTAACATCCAGTTCTTAAACATCGATCTTAATAAAAAATATAAAAAAAAATATAAAAATCAGAAAAATATTAAATTAAAAATGGCAGAGTCTGGATTTTTTTTTGTGGAATTTAGTTATTTATTTTTTTATTAATTTTCGCTTTGAAAAAGATATCTAAAATATTTTGTTTGTTTCTACCTAATTAATGGAAACGATCTCAAATATGTGATTATACATATATTTACTTTTTGGTAATTTGTAACAATAAATTGCACAAAAAATTAAAAAATTGTTACTCCTTTTTATGTTTGTACTGCTTTTTTTTCTATCAAAATAGAAATGTACTCCTTTCTCCGTTTCAGAATCTGGCAACCCTCTATTGGATCCACCATTTAGAATCTTTTAATTCCGAGTTTTTCTCCGCCTTCAACGACCCCAAAAAATCCTGAGCAAAAAGTTTCAAGCTAATTCGCCCAATTTTCAAAATATCTTCCGTCATATCAGCGACCCCAAAAGCTCCGATAATATTTTGAATTTTGGCCAATTTCGATGGATTCCTGGTCCACAGTGACAATGTTAGAGTGCAGACGTGCATAGTCGGCAAGTAAAAAAATCCATATTTTGACTACGAATTGCTACCTTATTCACCATTTCCTACCGATTTAGCCTCGTACTTCTATATCCTGTTTCCAAAACTGAAGATATCGGCCAAACACTAAATTATCCAACTACTTTATATCTACATTTGGTATACATAGATCAACAGATGACAAATGCGACTCTTTGAGTTAGAAAAATTTGGATATACAGCATAATCGTTCACCCATATAAATGTATAATATATACATACATATGTAGTTGTCTACGCCTTTGCAGTTTGGTGGCCAAAAATTATACATGCATATGTACATAAAACTAACGTTTGAATAAACTCTAAAGACTACCTTTCAGTCACAAGATCAATGAGAATTTGTTCTGCTGCAGCTCTTGAGTCGCTTCTGAGCTGCCTCCAGATATGTAATTGTAACAACGAATATCTGACGGTACTCTTCATAATAGCCAGCATATGAGAGACACATATGTTGGGGACGATTGCAGTGTTATAAAGATGCGCGATTGCTGAGTCTATATTAAAAACGATCCGATTTAACAGGAAATTTTAGTAAAAATCCCAGAACAAGAATTTTCGATCCCATATACATACGTACATTGATATAAGGACCAAGGAATATAAGATAGAAAAATTGTGGGTTTTTATGGACCCGACACTAAACTTTTCATTGCCAACTGAGGGCACTAGCCCCCATAGCAATGTTGACCAGTACCAGAAGATCCGTTGAAAAACATCTGATAGCGTCCCCTTAGTGTCAGACCAAGCGGCCATCAGGGCCTTTCCAAATCAATAATCTTTAACTCATGTCAACGAGGAACAAGATTACAGACGAATTAGCCAAAGAAGCCTCTGCATCTGCTTTGGTGAGACCGAAACCATTTTGTGGTATCATTTGGTCTTCTTTGAGACTAAAAATTACTGACTGTGTTAACTCACAATCGGAGAGTAAGTCCTGGAAAGCCTTAGACAGACCTGCTACTTTGGTTATCCTTTCGATAGAGAGGACATCGATTTCTTAAACGCTTCAATCTTTCATCATTTACAAAACCATACTAACCTTTGCCAAGCCTTTGCACTGTATGATCAACAGTAATCTTAAGTTCATCCAAAATGAAAACGAAGTCGCCTTTCTTCCCAACATATAGAAGGTATTATCCTTTTCTTCAAAAGAGTTCACTTGTAAGCCGAAAGCTGTTGATGCGATGGCATCATTTGTAAAACGCGTTGCATAGTCCTTTAAGTTTAACTCAATACCATTGCAAGATTCTTTGGAATGTAGTTTGTGCAAATAGTTTGTACTGTCTTCGGCCACCTGATTAATTAACTCAAACATTTGACGTAGCCTACTGCCAGTAAATGCTGGACTTAATGTGCTGCGCATATCTTTCCACTTGTCGTTTTTCATTTGAAACAAAGACTTTGTAAGGAGTTCATGAGAATCCTCACCAAAGAAGTTATTGTGGTTCAGGAAGTGATCGAAGTCTTTTACTGTGATTTGTCGCAGAAGATCTGTATCTCGAATTAGGTACATCGGTGTTGTTTGATAAAATACGCCATAAATACTGAAATTTCGGAAAAAAGAAGAAATTAAATGAATAAACATGGCTCAATAAAATGCTTACTAAATAATGATGAGTAAAAATAGTATAAAATAAAAAAAAAGCTTTTAACACGTTGTCTGCCTCAGCATCACCGGTGATCACATCGAAAATCTACCCCAAGGTGTCAACCAAAAATATTCATGTTATGATTAGCCGAATACCTTCGTATTTATTTTGTAACACAATTGGTAGTTATGCCAAGACAGGTTCGTACTTGTTTGAGACTATAGTATCCCCGGTGACCCAAAATTTACATTTCTTGTTCATAATTCAATGAAACCTTCATTTTTCACTCAATTTGATTACTTTTTTTTAATGACATTTTATAAAATTAGCAAGAGACTAGCTGACCCGATTTTCGAACTTTTATATTAAATTTTTTAGTGCAAAGTAAAGAAATAGTAGCAATTTGGGAGAAAAAAAATTCTAGTGTTGATAATTGTTTCATAATAAAAAATAGTTTAAAACGATTGTAGAGCTCCCTAAAACCGAAAAAATCCGCAAAAAACATTTTTTTTAGTTCTTAAAAAAAAATTTTAGGTATGCAGTTTTAAAAATAGATACACAGTCACTTTTAAGAACATTGCGAGAAGCATAGAAAAAATTTCGATGAAAAAAAATGTTTTCTCGGGTTCAACACTATTCTATCTTTTAAGTTAGAACCAACAATACACACTCACAAAATTTCAATGAAATCGGTTAAGCGGTCTCGGAGATTAGCGTAAACGAACACAGTGACATGGGATTTTTATATATTAAGATATATATGTTACCAGCCAAACTCAATCTTAGGACAAACTAGTTTTGCCTAGGCTAAACTAGATAAGGGCCACAGTGTTTTTGCGCAGAACACCTTTCCGCGTAGGCGGCCTTCGGCCCCACTTCAAAAAAATAACCATCATCAGTCCAACTCCATCTACTCAGTCCACAATTTTAAGTCTGTTTCAATAGCAGTCCGGTTTACAGGATTTAGTCAGAACTTACAGGACGTCGTTCCTATTAACATAAAACCTGTAACTGGAAACACTTTTGAGAGAGAAACTGAGCAACTGTTCCTAGTCAGAAGTTACAGGATTTAAAAAGAACTTTATATTTGTAAAAAAAAATGGAAGTCAAGAATGAGATATTTGAATATGTATAGATTTTAATAATTACTTAGTGAAATTTCAGCCAAATCTGTGTTGTACAAATGACGTGTAAACAAACCGACTGACGTTTTTACAGGAAATACTGCTTTTTGCGTTCCCGTGCACTTCTGCATCTGTTTTTCTTTTACTCTCACTTGAGAGAGTAAAATTTTAGATTGACAGTTCCTCGGGTTTTAGTCCAAAGTTCAAAGGAACAGACTAATTGTTGCGTCCAACTTGTTTCCGCGTTGGACGGATATATTGGCTCTAAGTAGAATTAGTTTAGCTTAGGAAAAACTAGTTTGTCCAAAGATCGGGTTTGGCCGGTAATATATATATTATTAAAAATCAACGCGATCTCCTAGCCACGTGCAACTTGCACTTTATTATAAAAAATTGTAGCGGTATATAAAACTGTATTCCTAAAATTTTTCTGAAAACTCAAAACAAAATCATAATTTCATGTGATTTTTTTCGTTTGAGGGAGCCCTACAATTGTTTTTAGCTAGTTTTTATCATGTAACATTTATTTCTGTAACATAAGAATCGATTTTCTTCAAACTACTTTTTCTGCACTTTCCACCAAAAAAAATTTAATATAAAAATTCAGAAATCGGGTCACCTTATTTTTCCCAATTATCAGGTTTCGCAACTGCTCTCAGATCTTTGTCAAAATTCCAAGATTTCAAAAATAATGATGAAGCATTTGAAGCATCGCCTAAGCTGTATATGTCAAATTTAAAAAAATGTCTTATACTCCCTCCACCGAAGAGGTAGAGTCGATATTTTAGAGGTCTACAAGTGTATCACCGATGATACGTTGGTACCTAGGAGTAGTTTTTCGAAGTAATCACCGGTGATGCACTGGCATATGGAAGACGAAACCATTCAGCACTCTATTCATCTATTCTACTTTTTTAGACTTAAGTTTTAATTAAAAAACAGTTAACATATTTTCATAACAATTAAACATATTTTCTGTCAAATTGCGAGTTGGGATCGAAGACGGTATATTTTTTACCCGTTAGATAGTTTCCTCGACCTCAAGACCCAAATTGACTGTTCCAATTTTATTATTGTAAACTAATTAATTAATAGGTACTAAT